GGTGCGGGCCCTGCCGCGGCGCGTCCCGTCGTGTGCGTGTGCGCGAGGGCTAGTGCGCGTTCCCTCTTCCCGGCATTCCTCCGCAGCCGGCACAACGTGGTGCCTCCCCGTGCGGGAGCAGCATGTGACCGCCGGCCGGCACACCCGGAGTCGGCGCTTCGGGAGCTCAGCGACGCTTCCCTTTCGCCCTTTCTCTACTTTTCAAAATCATTTTGGGCCTGGTCCTTCGAGGCGGTCTGGGGCGTGCGGGAAATCCCAGCAGAGCTGTGTCTGCATTAGGAGAGAGGCGCTGCGGCGGAATACGGAGACTTTTGGTCCCCCTTGGCAGGAATAGCTTGGGTGTGAGGCTCCTTTCCCCCCACCCCCTTGCTGGAACTCAGCAGGCACGGTGGTTCACAATTATATAATTCTGGGCCCTTTTCATGCGGTCCAGTGTTAAAACCTTGGTGCCCTTAGCCTTTCTGGCTTTTCAATACGACTCCCTTTCTGCAGTGCTGGTTGGGGCAGTGTGGTTTAAAAGATCAAAATGGGTAGTGTTGAAGGGGGAGTTTTTTGCCTTTATATTGAAGGGAGTTAGATCACTTGCCCTAGGGAAGCTTGAATAACTAAACCTGGAAATGGCATGTTGCAGTTTTGCTTTTTTCTTTTAAGGTTGCTTAATTTGGAGGAAGGGACATTGGGGCTTAAAATAATAGCTCAAACTCGGTTTTCTTCTTCCCTCCTTTCTCTTCCAGAAGCCTCGTATGCAAAGGGCAGTGCTTTTCACCTCCATTTTCTTGCAAATCCTTCCTAGATCCACCCACAGAGGGAGGGAAAGCAACTTTAAGACCGTCTTTGGTCCTCCCCTCCCCGCTCCCCCCCCCCCTTAAACTCAAAGGGGTATAATCATCCCAGGAAAGAACACTCTTCAAAAGTTTAAATGGGGCTTCTCACTCTTGGCTGCTTAACTAATGGTGAACCTGCCTTTTGGGTTTTAAATCAGACAAGACATCAGGTAATATTGGGGTGCCTGAGCTGACATTTTGTACAAATCTGTGGGTCCTTGATAGGTCACTGGGGTTATTGATCTGTGGGAAGAAGACTGGCTGGAATCCGAGAGCAAAGCAAAATTCTGAATGCAGTAAATTTACCTTGTTCTTTCTGGACCCTCTTAAGGCAAGAGAGTTTGTTTTGATCATTTAGAGCAATGAGTAGGCTTGGACAGATTACATAGTTTTGAATTCAGTAGTTTCTTGGTTTAAGCCAGTTTTTAAGGCTTGATTGCTTTTTTTTTAACTGCTTTTTTTTTTTTTAAACAGGCAATTCTGATTTGTTGTGTAGTTAGATGGTGGCTTTCTCAGAAATCCACATGGACCTTCTCTAAAGCCCTTTTCCAACCTTGACTTTACTTGCAGCTTGAACCAGTTTAAGTGTGACATCAGTGAAGTCGTGTGGTCTTGGGAATTTTTGTATTCTGTGATGCATGTGTTTTGGGGAGTCTACAGAAGTAAGCGAATGCCTCATAAGCAAGCTACAAGCTTTCCAAAGCTTATTGCAAATGCCTATTTTTAGCCCTCCTTTTGGCTCAGATGCTAGTGTTTTAGTTCTTTAGGGGACACATGCAGAAAGTGGTAATAAAAGATGTTTTGAGACATCCCTCCTTGTGGGGTTCTCTGTTCTGGTTTAAAATTCTAAGTATACTTTTATCATTTTAAGTTTTGGGATTTGTATATTATGGCTTTGTAGACCACACCTCCTAGTGTCTTGAAAGAAATATGTATATATTTTGCTTATTCCAGTCCACACCTTTTAGTAAAAGAGATGATAAAGTCAAAGTTGTGGGGTCAAATACTATGTGTTCAAATGCCAGTTCTCTCACTTGTTAGCCATGACTCCTAGAGAAAATTATTACAGTTCTGTGCCTCAGTTTCCCCCCCCTCTGTAATAGGGATTAAATAATGATTTATCTGCCTCCTGTAAAGCATTTAGCCTGGTGCTTATCATGTGATGGCTGTTAGATGTTAGGCACTTTCCTCAAGGGATTTTTTTTTTTTTTTGTCTCCTGAGACTGTTTTCTCTACCTGTAAAATGGGCAGGGTGGGTGGGTGGGGTGGTTAGGGGGTTGCAGAATACAATCTTGGTATTAGAACTCCATGAACTGTATGGACTCTGTCTCCTTAGAAATGTGCTTTTGCTCGTCCACAAACATGAAAGGCATGGTATGGGTTGACTCAAAGGCTAGTGACCCACAGAATTGGCTCTTTATGCCTGGGGTGTGGTGTGATAAATGTTTTGCAAATAGATTTTACTTTTTTAATTTTCCTTGTGTAACCATGATCTTTCTGGGGAGAGTACACGTGCTCTCAGAGCTGTGGGAGAATGCCGGCTTAAATGAACTCGCCAGATCGTCTGGTTGGTGCACATGTGGTTGAGAGTGGTTCATCTTCACAAGCTTCCTCTGCCCACCCCGTCACCCTGTCAGAGTGACCCGTGGGCTGTAGTTGTGTCTGCTCCTCGAACTTAGTGCTGTAAGAAAGTTATTGCTATATATTTAAATGCTGAGTAACTTTGTTTTGACAACAGTTGATTGACCACACAGACATCTCTGGCACCAACCTCTCCCCTTTCAAAGTATGTGATAAATAACATACTGTAGATCATAATAACAAATGTGGACCCTACTTTGCAACACACATCAAGACATTATTCTAACTAGGTTTTTAAAATTTTTTTATGCATAGAAAGATACAATACATACTAAAACAAAACCTGTAACTGGCGTTAGATATAACTCGTACCTATTCTGACTTATTTACAAATTCTACTGAGAGACGTGGGATGGTATTTGTTGATAATGTGGGTCCTGTGTGTACTATGGTGTTCACAACATCCAGATCACATAGGCGATTTCACAGACTGTATCATGGACATTAAGCAACGTATGATTGTATTCTCTCCCTCGTTAAAGGATAGCTAATGGGGACAGGGGCCAGCAGTGTCTGAATGCTCTAGGCATCAAATTTTTCTCTGGCTTTTTGAAGTTCAACACAATGATGGCACAAAATAAAAAGGGCTATAAACGTAGATAACCCACAGCGGAACCAGAGATCCTCTCCACCCACCGGGTTGGCCCCAGAAACCCTCCACTGTCCTTTTCTGCTTGGGTCCTTCTCCAGGTCTTTTTCCCTGCCCCCTCCCCCTCTCCACTTTTAGTAGCTGGGCATCAGTCTTCTAAGACCTCTGACTACTATTGAGTCTCAGCTCTGCTTCTAACTTTGTGTTATCTTGGGTAAATTACTTGGCTTAGTTGAGCTGACCCTCTGTTCTTTCGTCCCCAAAATAAAACTATTTGACCTCGTGGGTACGAGCTTGGGTGCTAACTGGAAGGTGTGTAGTTTGTACCAATCAGCTACTGTTCATGAAGAAAGGGGTGGCAGTTTGCTTCCATGAGATTTTTAACCTCAGTAACCCTTTGGGGGCCATGTGGCAGTTTTACTCTTCTGTAGGCTCACGTCGTCAGTCACTGAGTTGGAATCCAGTCCACAGCAGTGTTAGGTGTTTACTGCTTTGTATTTCAAAGGCGTGTGAAGATTAAATAAGGTAATGCTTATGAAGTACCAGGTACAGAATAAGCACCTAATGAGTGTTTCCTATTTAGTAGCATTTTTTAAAAAGCTGTTTTAAAAGCTTTGTAGTAATCACCATTATTGGGGGTATTTATTCCATTTTGGGGTTCTGCTTATGACCAGCAGCAGTATAGACACTGGCAAACCCCTAGGCTTCTCTGCCTGGGTCTTCACCTGCAAAATGAAGAAATTGGATTAGGTCTCAATGTATAAAAAGGTTTTTCTCCACTGGACTCTTTCCCTACAAAAGAAAGAAACTGAAGTAGAGCTTTATTATGTATGTATACATTCATATCTGCTGTAGTGGGTAATAACTCCAGTTTAAATTTCGGCTCCCTATGACGACCTCCATGAGGCCACTAAAAAAAACCCAAAACTCCAACTCACTGCCATCAAGTCGATTCTGATTCAC